TTCTAACAGCTTTATATTGCGTTGCTGTGCCTTACTTCACATTGTGCGAATAGCACATTGCTAAACTATCTCTTTGGTTTGAGAGAAATAAAAAGAAAAGTTCAGTAAACTGTTAATAGATACAGCAGGAATTGCATTGTACTCCATGAACCAGATTGTCTTGGCAGAATATATTCCTTAGGGCCACGTGCAGAACAGCTTTTGCCCTTCTTTGTTCTTCTCTTGAACTTGTTAAATGTTCGAATGTCATATGAAGTCACGTTCTTATAGAAGAGAAATCTGATGTGTGAACGAACTGAATGTAGTTTTATTTTCCTGTTACAAAAATGTGCATGTGTTGTATTGATGGAGATGCGCCATAGACAGCGCCCCACCACACACTTGCTGCCTCAGGCATTGAAAAGGCTGGACACACCCCTGGTTACATTTATGCTTATTCCCTCTACAATTGTTACATTGTACTTCTTGTTACAGATGTACAGTAAACTCCCAATTATCGGGCATTCAATAATATGTCATAAACAATTTTTTTTTACCTGTGGCTTGCCGGTTGTTTGGTGCACACAAAAAATGACATTAGCAAATAAATGTATTTAGGTGGTTATTCACTAAGGAGCCAAAGGATTTAGCCGACCTTTCGGCTGTGGAAAGCACTTCTTTACGCTATTCTCAAAAGCACGTACAGCAGCCCAAGGCAGTCGAAGTAAACAACTGAACGAAGCCCAGTCGAACAAACATGCTCCGACTCGGCAAAGTCGAACAAACAGCCGGAGCAGTGAGAATGGCCTGCCAAAGCGGACCGCATCCTTGAAAGTTGATAAAAGATAGAATAAAAAGAAAACCCATCATGTACTCTCCTCCACAATTCATACCCTTTAGGTCTGGTAGCAACGTAAGGGGGACCCCCTATGCTAAAAAAAACCAAAACAACAGGCTCTTCTTAAAATCCGTTACCAGACCCTTAATCTGAGCAGCAGCTTTGCGGAGCAGGAAAGGGGAGGGGAACGAACATGGTTAATTCGCACAGAACAAAGGTACATACACTTTTGCTGGACGAATAGCTATTTGAATTTAATATCTATTAGCCCCCCTAGTCTTGTCTTTCCTGTATTTTCAAACTGCAGTGGATTGGAACCTGTAGGTATTAATTGCCTCCTTTGCTGGGAACAGTTTATCACACATTTATTTTAGCAAAAGAGTTGCTTTAAGTAGAAATGTTCCCACTAGCACTGCTGCATTTATTATTTTTTAGAAGAAAGCCGTACTCTAGGGAGATTAAAAAGAAAAAAAAATCAATACATTTATTTATTTATTTATTTACAAGTGTTTTAACTTACAAATAACACAGGTACATGAATCTGTCTGGTTTTTAGCCTTATGTAATTCCCTGCACAGCAGCAAATGGGAGAGGGAGGGCCATATATAGGAGCCTGCATGCTGTGCTGACAGGGAATATGCTGAAAGGAGCAGAGATCAGAGTCAATGACTTGTTAGTGTGCTGCTGCTCCTGCAGTGTACTAGGTAGTAGGTGACACCACTGTATGTCTTATCTATGACACAGAAAGTAGTGTCACCCCTCTGCTTGTGTTGTTTGTCAAAGAGATGTGGCTCCACTATGTGGAGGAGCAATGTAGCCACCCTTGAATAGCAGCATTGTCACCCTGTGGGTAGGGTGGTATTAGATGCACTAGCAGATTTAACAGACTTGACTAACAAATGAATTCCTCTTCCCCATGTGAATTTGGTAAAATAGAATTACCCCCACCAATCTGCCCCCTTGCTGCCCTTACCATTGAAAAAACACTGCTTCCTCTCTGTAGCCCCCATACACAGTGTTGCAGTGTTGTACTATTTATTTAAAATGGCGAACACTCATTAGTCAGCGTGGTCACCCGAAACGCTTCTCATTGGTCAGCGTGGTCTGGTGACCGTGAGGACCAATGAATGCTCTCCATTTGCAGGGGGTAATTTGAAATCCCTACCCCAGCGCTGCAGTGTTGTGTATGGTGTACTGACTGTACACCGGGAGCTGAAGAGGGGAAGCAGCATTTTTTCAAAAGTAAAAGCAGCGGGAGAGGGGGCAGATTGGTGTGGGGGGGGCTCTGCTGGAGGGGGTAATCCCATTTTTCCAAATTTGCCTGGGAAAGTGGAATTACCTCTTCAAATCTGGACTCCAGCTAACACTTTTTAAGCAGTTACATCAACAGTTGTTTTCCTTTTGGGATAAAGGTTTTACACCAATGAATAGAGGCTGACCATTGTAATCACCCCTGTCAGTGTTAAATGGTTTGTCCCAACCCTCTATCTGCCACTTTTGCTGGACGGCTTGGCCTATTAAAGGAATTTGAAAAATATCAGACTTACTGTCCGGACCACCGTATTTAAGGATTGGTAAGCTGCAATATATTACATTTTGGCTTTAGATACGCTTTAACTCTGCAGCATTTATCATACATTGATTGAACATCTTTGAGTGGACTAACCCTTTAACCACAAGTAACGGTTGTCCATGTGCTCATATGCTTATAGTCACCCATATCCTCACATATTATACCTTTGTTTATGCGCAAACAAGCCATCTGCATCCAGCATAGCTACAATAGGCTATTCTCTGCTTTTAAAAAATTCTCATTACATAAAAGGATTTCAGGGAAACAAAATCTGGCAGCATTACTTAATAAATGTGCATCTTCTGCCAGATGTCATCTCACTTATTGTGGCAATTATATCCTGAAATAATATTTCCCTGTAAAGGAGCCAGTTGTGTTTTTCATGCAGGAAATCCCTGACGCTCTATACTCCGGAGAGCTAGACAGCTGCAAGTGTATAATAGCGATACCAGCCGCTTATGTTTCATGGAGAAGTTCTTGTCTGCTGGAAGAATGACACTTTACAGAGTTCAGTTGGAAGTCAGAGTCAAGCAAATCTTTGATCTAGGTCTAGAATTTTTGTCTTTGATATAGATTAGCAACCTGTGGAATGGAACCTCAGTGGGGGCCCACAATCAATGTTTTATTGTTTTTAGCTATAACTGTAATCATTACCATTTTATTCAGCTCATAAAATAATGGCATATTGTTGCCCATACACACAGGTGCCAAAAGGGAATGTGGAATTGTGTATGCTTAAAATGACACTAAACTCAGGAATTAAATCGTAAAAATACATTCAAGCACCTTAACTATTAACAAAAATGTATCTTATGTGTGTATCACTTGGCTGTAGATCCTCAAATCATCTCTGAATTGGTGCTGACACTGCCCTTGCTTCTGGAGGATGCTACTTGTTTCCCATGGTCCCTGTTAAGAAAAGCATGTCCCCCCCCCCCCCCCCCAATGCTGCTTTAAGGACTTACGTTATGTGATGCCTCTTGATCAGAACAGCTTCTTCCTTCCACTCGTTCCACTTCCCTCCAGCGCTGGTGCCGGTCTCTGATCCAGCGCAGGCTCCTCAGGTCCCACGGTGTTGTCCGACGTGCGCACTCCCGGCTGCCTGGCTGCGTCCATCCAGGTTCAGCATTGCTCTCTTCCTCTCCCCTCGATCTGGCCTGCGCATGCGCTTGCCCACACTTCTTCCTTCTTCAAAGCATTCAGGAACTGCCTGGAGAGAGCAGCGCTGACACAGGTAAGTTTGTTGGTGTTGTCCAACTTTTTTTTTTATGTTGGGGCATATATCTACTGCTTACTAGACTTTAATTCTACTTTAAGGTAATTGAATGCATCTTTAAGATTTAACTCCTGAGTTTACCATCACTTTAATGTCATCCACTTTTCACAACTTGGCATGGGCACAGATGAATGGTGTCTAGAACATGGGGAAGACGTTGACTTGGTGGCTCCAGTTCGTATTGACCTCGCCTCCAAGTTGGCTTTTGTAGTCATGTGATGGAGCTCTGGGAGTACTGCTCACTCACCACCTATCTCATTTAACAAATGGCTGGGCACCTATAAGGGTTAGTTTACACCAGAAACTGCATCACAACTGCCTGCGTCTGCGCAGTTGCATTGCGATCATTTTCAATGCATTTTGACGTGTTTGTGATGCATTTTGATGCGTTTTCTTTTATTCTGCATACTCTTTAGTACATGGGTGGTATACAACTATATAGCTGGGCTGTATATAGACACAAACATTTCTAATTTCCCTCTGACTCACAACATGCAGCTTTCAAAGTCACAGGAGGTGGTGGTTGTTATGGTTCATTTTGTGAAGACACCATCTAAAATAATATACTATAAACAATATAGAACAAATTAACAATGGAGGAGGTTAATAGTAGGGTTGTTACTCATTAACGAATCCAGTTCAGACATATAACTATTACATACAAATTACACAATGTTAATCTTCTAGTCATACACCTGACAACTACTTCCTGAAAACAGTCATTGTGAAAATGAAATAATCTTCAGCTTTGTCTACAGTGTTCATTCTCTGGTTTAAGTGGAATAGGGGAATGAACGGTAGCAGTTAGAATTTTACAGTAAAACAACATTCTGCTGGAATCCAAATGTAAACCATATGTGCGGTGGCCACATCACTGTTTTTGTTACTAAGAAAAGCCAGGCTGAAGGCCTGATGTGGATTTCAGGAGAGAATGTAGAGTATGTAAATGAGCCACCGTACTAATCTTCAGGAACGTGCCACTTGCCTGGGCCAAAATAAGCTGCAGAAGACTTGGCTGAGTTGACTCTACTTGTACCTAAAAATATGGACATTATTTGAATTTTTTGAGTTACTTCTTCACCGTAAAGTAATATCGCCTAAACATAGGTTGAAATATTCTTCCTGGAAGCAGTTCAAAGTATTGTGTTGCTACTTAGTAATAAAAATAGTAGCATATCTTACAATACAAGTAGGAATTTTGCATTAGCCATTGAAGAGTCTCTTTAAGATTTTACTAAAGCACCAGATTATTTGTTTTCTCTCTCCTTCACATGCCCTTGTTGACCTCTGAATAAATAAAATAAAGCTAATTCTTCTCTATCTCTCATTAACAGTGTTTAAAACAGTATGTGGAACTTCTGATCAAAGAAGGTTTAGAAACTGCAATTAGTTGCCCTGATGCCAATTGCCCGAAGAGAGGCCATTTACAAGAGAATGAGGCAAGTATAAAGGCAAACGAGAATGGGTTTGGGGCAGTTATTTTTTAAATAATTTTCCCTTTTTTACAGATTTGAATCTGATGTTGCATATATGTTTTAGTATTTTGTAAAGGGTGCACTCGTGGCACTGGTGTTGCACATCTTAAAGCAGAAGTACAGAAAAAATTACTATTAAGCATTGCGGTGGGGCTATCCCCACCCTGCAAGGTTTAACTGATCATTTTGGTCTAGGGAGGAAAATAATAAAGTAATAGCTGATCCTCAGAGCCAGCCAGCTGTGACAGCACTTCCTCCAGCCGGTCTCCTCTTCTG